CCATTTATTATTAGGTTTCATTCATAATATGTTTTTATGGTTTATCTGTACCAAAGTGTAAAAACAACTATTGTTAGGGTGTGTGTAGAGGAGTAAAAAGTACAGTGTTTCTCTCTGAAATGTAGTGGAGTAGAAGTGTAAGTAGCACACAATGGAAAAGTACAAGTACCTCAAAACTGTACTTGCTGTAAAACACTACTAGATCAGTGCATTATTTTCTGCCTTGATCCTGATTTTGATGGTGCCTTGCTTTTCCTCACTAGTGGGTCTTTACTGCCACCTCATGGATTAATGCTGCTAATGATAAAACCGGAGAGGGTTGAGAGAAAAAGAGCCGAGCTACAGCATGGACAGTATTTGGACATCAGCATATTTTTAAGGACACCACTAACAAGGCCTGTGTCCACTTGGTCTGTGAAACATTTATATGTTGCATGCTCATCAACTGGCTGCTGCATGGCTTTGTTTTAGCCTTTACTTTGAAACCTTTTGTGTAAAAGTACAGACCATGTACACTGACTTACACAGTCTACAATGAAGCCATACACTTTGGCCAGCAAAATGTTACTGAGCTTTGGAAAGCAAAAGTTATTTGGAATAAAGACCTATTTAGCTTCTGTGCTATTGTCTCCACATTCATTTATAGATATGCCTGGCATTCCTTCAGACTTTCTTTGATATTTCACCTACACCCTAACCCATACACAGGTGGTGTCAATGCGTGTCATCCTAACATCTGAAAGGACAGAAGAGCGACTGAGACAGGGACCTACGCGGTTTAGTGCTCCTACGCTGACGAAGGAAGCTCATACAGCTGCTTTTTTCTGCTCACATTTTGAAGGCAGCAACAGTTTCTTCTGTTGCTAATTGATCAATGGAAAACATGAAAGAAACCATGATGGAGAGCCAGCCAGCTAAAGCTGTGAAGTAATACTCTCTGTCAATTTCTGCCAGACAGAATAAAGAATTGTTTCGTGAGTGGCAACAAATGTCTTGGGCGCACTCATTTATTCCCAGCAGTGACTTCTGTGTTTATACAATGCATTATTCATCCACTGCAGATTTTAAGAGAGAGGGCCCTTTGTTCAAGGTAAACATCCATCCAACAAGTACAAAAGTTTAGAAAAAGCAGTGCCAGCAGACTACTCAGTGCCTGGCCTAATATAGTCACCAAATATGAATTACGTCTTTGGCTAGAATTCAAAAATGTATCATTTACATAATGAATAAAACACATCCTATGCAATGCCTTTTCTGAATTTGCTTTCTGGTCACTGCATGCAAGGATAACAAGAGAAAACCTGAATCTGGCTGTGAATTTGTCCAAACAAATGAGATCCAGCAGCTAAAGTAAAAAAGTTTGTTGTACTCTAATTAGGGCACCATACATCAGAACAGCTGCAAGAATTAATCAGAGTTCAAGACGGACACAGAGAGGCAGAGGATGAGACAGATAATTATCATCAAGAGCTTGTGAGAGCATTACAATGCAAAGACAGCTGGCGTGAGAGAAAAGCCTCACATTAATTATGATAAAGAGACAATAAAGGAAAGAGGGGTCAGTGAAATGGTGCAATTATTCAGTGTCAGCTTGCTTAATCACCAAAAGTTGTGCGTGTATGAAGTCTTTTCATGAAGCATAAATCTTTTCCCCCCCCAAACACACACACACACACACACACACACACACACACACACACTGGGAGACCCATTATTATTCTTCCAGTGTCTGTGAGGCCAGCCACACTGCTTCAATTAGGAAAGTCACTGTAAATTAACTTGAATGTCCAAGTTCTGAATATTTCATAATAATGTCTGTCACCATGATTTACAGCCTCTTAAGTCATAATAATAATAATAATGATAAAAGCTTCACTCTGAACATCTGTCTGCCTGTCTCCTAACTCCCTTACCATACTGCTGTCTTCCTGCACGATCATCTCTGGAAGGCTTTATAGGGGCTACTGGTGGGTTCATGTGCCAGACCTCCCAAACAAACCCAGGGGACTGTGTGCACCTGCTTATTAATAATCTACAGTGCCCTGCCATCATGGCACACTACCCTGATGGAGACCACGGGATGATCTCTGGCTGCTGATGATGAGGAATCGTACTGTACTGACAACACATCTGTTTTCAAAGTGTGAGAAAGTTCCTACCTGAAAATATTTTCATACTTTCTTATTAACTCATCATTTCAGCATTTTCATTGATGGATTGGGTTGGTCCGACTGTTTCTAACTCAAATTCCCCAATATCTCTAAATCTGAATTACAACTATGACACTGAGCTGAACAGTTTTTCAGACATGGTTGCTCCTAAGTATTGTCTGGCACGAAACACTATAATATTGACATGGACAGGGTATTTGCAATAACTACAATGTGAAATGTTAGCTGTATGACTACATTACATCTGGCAGTTACTGGGTGTAAATATTTATAACTATTTTCAGTGTGAGAGCTTCTTTGTATGGCACCACTTCAGATTTGTACATATACAGTGCCTTGTGAAAGTATTCGGCCCCCTTGAACTTTGCGACCTTTTGCCACATTTCAGGCTTCAAACATAAAGATATAAAACTGTAATTTTTTGTGAAGAATCAACAACAAGTGGGACACAATCATGAAGTGGAACGAAATTTATTGGATATTTCAAAACCCTGATGGAGACCACGGGATGATCTCTGGCTGCTGATGATGAGGAATCGTACTGTACTGACAACACATCTGTTTTCAAAGTGTGAGAAAGTTCCTACCTGAAAATATTTTCATACTTTCTTATTAACTCATCATTTCAGCATTTTCATTGATGGATTGGGTTGGTCCGACTGTTTCTAACTCAAATTCCCCAATATCTCTAAATCTGAATTACAACTATGACACTGAGCTGAACAGTTTTTCAGACATGGTTGCTCCTAAGTATTGTCTGGCACGAAACACTATAATATTGACATGGACAGGGTATTTGCAATAACTACAATGTGAAATGTTAGCTGTATGACTACATTACATCTGGCAGTTACTGGGTGTAAATATTTATAACTATTTTCAGTGTGAGAGCTTCTTTGTATGGCACCACTTCAGATTTGTACATATAAAAGACTAAACTTACAAAGACGTGGACTTGGGGCTTTTTCCCAGAAGCACCATATCTCGCATCCACAGTATGTTCTTCCAGTCATTCACACATCTGCTCCTGTCAGACAGTGTCAGACTCCAGTAGCTTCGGGAGCAGCTGAAGGTGAAATGAACTCAGTCACTCCCCCAGTTCATTAATTCACTTCATAATTCATACCCTCACATAGGAGCTGTCCTGCTCTCATTCTTTCTGCCACTGCATTTGGACAAACCTCCACTTCCCCTCTCCATCACCTTCTGACATCAGCTACTAGCTAAAGCAAAAAGCAAATAGAAAAGCATTGCTACATCCATGTTTTATAATCTTTTTTTTTGAGAATGGGTACACGCTTGTGGCTAGAGAAACACTGAGGATTTATAACCTTAGAAGCATTGACTCCCCAGCTACCCCTCCCCTTAGAAGCCTGGTGTCCTTGCCAGCAGGAAAAGTGGTGCACTATTGCAGACAGATAGCATCTGATAGTGGACTGTTACTCCACAAATGAACACACAGTCAGATTTCAGCTACTTCTCTCTGTCTCTGCATGACACCAAATAAGGTTGACTACAGTCTGACTAAACACACCATGAACCATTATGATCCAGTGACCCATAAGTAAATCTGTCCCTCTCATCTCTGCAAACTAATTTATGGAGCAAAAATGGTGAAGGAAAAGGCTGCCTCCCTTTCTTTCTCTCTCCCTCCTCGCTGCTCGCCTCTCTACATACTCATCTGTTAAATGGAGTTTTGTTGGGAAATGGGCCAAAGCTGCTCACCTAGCCCCTAGGACTCCAGCAGAAGTGATAACTATATTTATAGCTGCTGCCCAGTTGTGCTAAACAAGGTGGAACAGTCTGTAAAAGAAGGTTCTGTTCATAATGGAATTAAGCACTTAAGTGGTTGATGGGTGCCTGCACTGACCATCTAGTTTAAACTTGTCATTTTTCATGAAAAAGTAAGTCATCTACCCTGTTAACTCTTTATCATTTATCTTCAAAGATGCTACCAAGACAAGCAGTCTGAAGATGTGGAAGATGACCCTCTCAAAGATTTACTCTACTACATGGCCTCACAGACCAGATGAACTGCTGAGATCTCTAGATTAAACATGGATTAGAATGGCTTTGACATAGTGACCAGTAATCTTGAGAGAGAACAAGAGAACAGATTGGTGCATGATAAACGCAGTCTAACAATATTGTTTTCATACCACCGCTGGACAACGTTTTCTGATTGACTGTGGCGTTAAGTGGCAACATACAAAACATATTATTGTATGCATGCCCATAATCTTCAATTTTATGATTATACTAACATTTCATCATGCTATATATCTGGTTTGTTTTCTCTGGCTTTGCTAAACTAACCAATGGGAGCATAAACTGTGACCTGGGGTGCTAAATCCTGATTTTAATTGTGCCTACTGGTACAGTGCTTATTTTTTTTTACTGGCATCAGCATGTGCCTTGAATGATGCCTATAGGAGTTTTAAATATGTCTATGGTACCCAGTAATGACTTCATAGTGACTTTATAGCGCTTGAGTCTCAATTATCTTGCAAATATTAGTTAGTTCTTGCATGTATTTTTTAATTACCTGTGAACTGCGTTAGAGCTTTATAGTGTTTAACATTTCAGACGCATCGGGCTTTCCTAAAAGGCTTCCTACAGTAAGGACATTATTAGTAAAGTATCGTCAGTTCCCTCCATCGCTTCCTCCTGCCGTTTGTGTTGACTGGCTGGTAGTGATCTTAATCGGTTCACAGATAGCGGCGCTCCTTTCTGCGCCACAGCGCGGGCAGCCGAGGCTTCGTGTGTGGGAGGGACTAACGGAGAGCTCCCCTCAGTGCAGCCTGCTGCTACAGCATCGAGCAGGGACAGATTACAGTCCAAGCGTATTCACTGATAAGGCTTTTTGTCTGCCCCAGCTATGTGGCCTCGCAAGCCGAATGTCTGCGAGACCGAATGCGAAAGAGATGCTGAAGTTGCGGTGAGTTTGTCTCTATGTATTTTGTGCAGTCTGATGGGGGTTTTGTAAGGGATTAGAAAAAATAAAACCGATTGTGCATGATAGTTCCACCCTTATGCAGAGGAGCATCTTACATCTGCTGCTGAATTCATATAAGGTGTGCAGAAGTGCTCCGACACAAATAATGAAGTACCGGTTATATTTAAAGCAGACTGTTCTCCCTGAAGTACACTTACTACGGCTATGAATGTTTATGTATAGTTTATACGTGGATTGTTTTCCTAATTGGATACAGGGGCATTTGGCTAACCAGACACTATAAGCGCCTTTCAAGGAGGGTCTACGGATTTCTCTTAAATGATCTAATCAACTTTAAACTGGTGTTGATTTAAGTAGAACTATAAATGTACGTGCATTTTGCCCACCGTCCCATTTTACGCACACGTTTTGCGTATTAATTGATGAGGTTCTTTGCAGTGAGGGTACTCTTATTAAAATGCACCATCCAACTTAGAGCTTTTGTGTGCCCTCTTCTTAGGGATGCTGTGGAGTGAAAACATCGTGGGAGGAAGGTTCAGAGAGAATAGGCTGGTGGTGATAAACGAATGGCTTCTCCAGAGCTGCTCGTCGGAGGAGAGGGAGGCAAACAGTCCAATCCTACAGACGTCCTTGACTGGGTGTCCAACGTGCTACATGTCCGCAAGTCTGGCGGATCAATAGGGGGAGCGCTCCCAGGGGAGGTTGGCTGTAACACGGCCCGCAGCTGCCATGGCCGGTGTCTTTCAGCACCAAGGACGGCGCCACGCAAGGGGGGCGCGGAGGTTAAGCTCTCTCACCTCGGCGAAGACAAAATCAGAGTTTGTTGCGACGAGGAATTAGAGACATCTTTCACTTACATTGACGAGAATGTGAACCTGCGACTAGCCAGCCCGGAGACTAGTTGTAAAAGTACTCAAAGACCCGTGCGCAACGGCGAGCCTTGCTCCGATACGTTACCGGAGCTTTCCTTCATGTCTGAGGATGATCTTTCATTTGGGGAGGGCTCGGGAAGTTCTATAGACTACGGGTTTATCAGTGCTGTCACGTTCTTAGTGACCGGTATCTCCTTGGTGATCATCTCCTACACCGTGCCTCGGGATGTGGTGGTGGACCGTGACAGTGTGTCGGCGAGGGAGATGGAGAGGCTGGAGATGGAGAGCGCCCGGATAGGTACTCACCTGGATCGGTGCGTCATTGCGGGACTGTGCCTGCTCACGCTGGGCGGCGTGGTGCTTTCCACTTTGCTGATGATTTCAATGTGGAAGGGGGAGATGTACAGGAGAAAGGTCATCGCTTATTCTAAGCGTTCAGCCAAACTGTATGGCTCTATCAGCCTGAAAACTAGATCCAGTCCCAGCCATTCCTCTAGTCACTTGTCCCTGGAGGAGGAAATAGAGGAAACTCTGACCTAAGGTGACGCTCTGCACTAAAACAGTTTGTCTCTAACTGAAGAATTAATGGAATCCACAGTCATTAACTAACATGCTGTAGCCCAAAGCTGTATTTATACATTCAAAGTGCAACATTTTGTTCATATAATGTTGATAGAGATTCGTGTTGTATTGTATTGACATGTGGCAAAGAGGAATGACAGGAAAAGCAAAGTGAGCAGTACCCTGAAAAACACTAGGTGGTATCAAAATGTTTCCAAATGGTTTAAATTGCACCAAACCAGGGAGAAGGTTTTGTGTCAAAAACACTGGCTCTTTTTTCTTTCTCTCTTTTTTTGGTGCCCAGGATACTATCTCTGAGAGCTTCCATTTATTATTAAAGCTATTCATTTTTAATGTAAATGTTTCCAACAGTGAAATTGTGCACAGACACATTTCAGGAAGTAAAGGGCGTGTGTCCCCACAGCAGAATGGGAGTAAGAAGGGATGCAAAGCTGTCCCCATCCACTGTGATGTGGGAGAATCAACTCAGTGGTCCACATGGTAATATCCAGTGACAGTGCCTCTCTGGTGCAATGCTGAGGTAAGCCAATAAGCCCGGCCTTGTGCATCTGAGCCAGAGCTCCACATCAGTTTGATTGTACTGAGCAATTTGACTCCATCTGACAGCGCTGACATGCACTGAACATCATACTCAATGCTCCCTTGACCCTTTCTCCTCGTCTTCCTTTACCTTTTAGTTTTCTGTGCCACAGGAGTCTTTCCTCCTGCAGAACGTCTGTGCCTATGAACACGATGTGCAGGAAGTGCCAGTGACATTTGAAGAATG